AGGTTAGCGGTTGGGTTCCTGGCTTCCCTCTAACCCAAAGGGTCCATGTAGGTATATGGTATATACTTAGGGCCCAAAGGGGTTCCCATATACCTACTTTAAGGCCCAAGTATATCCCATATACCTACATAGACCCTTTGGGAAAGGGAACGCCTTGCAAGGGAGGCATCCTCCAGGTCAGGCAGGAAGCTATTGCAATTTGGGGCTGGGGTTTAGGGTTTAGGGTTTGATTTGGGATGTTGTGGGTCTCAGCCTTTTGAAGAATCTCCGCTTGTAGACGTGTACATGATTGTTTGGGCGGAGAAGCGCTTCAAGAGGAAGAGCTTTCATGACTTCCCAGCGTTTTTCTGACAATTCTGAAGGAGACATCCCGATAAAACCCATCAGAATGTGCCAGCCTACAGAATCCCTTGCTAGTCCTCCAGCTGGCCTCTATATGGGGATTTCCCAAAATTAGCGGTACCGTTTTGGGGGTCCCTTTCATAAAGATTTTCGTATTTTGGGGTCTATCTTGGGGTCCCCCTATGTTGGGAAACTACCATATCGTTCTGGGTGCACCTGCTAAATCCCGGAAGTCTCGGGAAGCAGGAATACCAAGACTTCAGCAATGAGACAATTGAGTTGGGTTCCGCAAAGGAAATGGCCGTGGGATTCCACAATCAAGGCCAAAAGCTACCACAAACTTAAGGTCTGTACTTTGGGAATCTGGTCCCCCAAGCTCGCATGCCTGCTTATTGCAGAGCTGCGGTTGTGGGCAATCAGAAGCCCCAAGCTTGGACTCTCAACGACTCAGCTCCCAGCACCTGTCGTTTAGGAGCCTGAAGCAGCTACGTATCATCATTCTTCCCCGTGCCCTTGTTCTTTCTCCAGCTCAGGTAGTTACATAGGTACCTGGATCTTTTGGGTACTCTTCTCTTTGCTCCAACGTTAAACGTGCCCGCGCCCCGCATACCCAAACATTAGATACCTGGACTCCCCCAGTAGGTAAGAAATGATCCAACGCCCGTGACGAATGTCAAAAAAGGCCTTGATTCTGCAGTCTGTGGGAGTTCCGGTATGTACGGCATTGGGTTCTTTGGGTATTCTCTTGCCCCCAAGGTGCGCTGCTTGCTTGAGAGTCGAGCTGATCCGAAGCTCAGTGCAGAAACTTTGGTTCAGGGTTTCGGGGTTGATGCAAGGAATTCAGGGCTTCGGGTTCAGGGTGTAGAGAGAGTTCAGGGTTTAGGTTTCTGCCAGGAATTAGGCGCTTTACGATACTTTATTCTAAGTTATCCCATATCCAGCTTTGCGGACTTGAGCCCACAGTAAGCCGCGCCCTCCCTTGACCTTAGACCTCACATTTCGTGTCACGTCATTGAAACATGGGTCACTCCCTGAAGAAGCGCATCGGGCACTGAGACATCCCATGGGCAAACCAGTTCGAAGGCCAACTCGGGGGTTGGTCTTGTCTGTCCTCTACCTGTCGCAAGACAGTAACGCTGTCAAGGCATGGATCACCACGTTTGAGGCAGTGTGGTCTGCGGGCCTCCCCCGCAAGGAGGCCGCGGACCACAGGCCAGCCTTGGCAGCGGCGGCTTCTGCATTCGCGCCCCACAGCAGATTGCTTTTGGCAAGCAGCTGACCGCTTCGGTGTTAAGCGGGCGGGCCATCTTGGCCGCCTGCGTCCACGGGTGGTTGCCGTCCCCCCTTAGGGCTAACCTGCACATCGGCCAGACGTAAAATGGCGGGGGTCTTGCAAGATGTTGAGCTGCAACTAATTGGGGATAGTCCTGCACGACTATAAACTCCATCTGCTTCGTCCAGCATGACTATAAAACTGCAGCAAGTCTAGCCCAGCATGGTTTAAAACTGTTGCTTTGCGAGCCTGTAGGGCTGTGCCTTTGGACTTTCTTCGCTACCTTGGAGGAGGCTGCCAGTTCCTTGAGACTCGCCCTAGCGACGGCTCTCGCGGGCCGGCGGTCGGACCCTGTCCCAGAGAAGGAACCTGACTACTCGCCCGCAGGCAAGGAGGAGCTGGCCGATGCAGATGTTCCGATGCCGGACGCTGCAGAGGCTGAAGCCCCGGGTGAGCCCCAGGCCAAGGCAGTCGCTGTTGCCAAGGCCAAGGCAGCAGCAGCCAAGGCTAAGGCAGGTGCCGTCAAGCAGGAACTCATCGGCGACTTCATCGCCCGCACCGTTAAGGCGAAGTCGGGGCCGGCTCAGCCTCCCCCTCGCAGCAGCGAGGACGAGACGCTGACTGGCGCGTTCAATGTCAGTGGCCCTGGCAGTGAAGCTGGTCCGATCAACACAGGTGAAGGTACGTTTACGTGCCCTACCTGTGGGCTGATCTTTGCGTCTCGCCAAGAGCCTGCTGCACATGAAGGCAAAGCATACTCGACCTGACGCTGCTAAGGCATCCTCTGTCGGACCGCGGGCGACATTCGCCGCGACGGGGCTGGAGCCATCCACATCTACCAGAAGGATGGAGTTTGGCTACTCATGCAGCAGCGAGTAGATTTGAAGTCCAGGAATCTGACCTTGGATGCCTGTCACTGGCCCCCTCCCGCGGAGCGGCGAGGCGGCGGGCAGTGTGGCGAAGGCCTTGTCTGCTTGCTGGTCCTCCGACCCCGCAGCTAAGGCGGCGGGCACCGGAGGTGCCGCCCCAAGCAACCTTGCGGAGTTTGGGCCCTCCTCCTCCTCCTCCTCCAAGAGTGCCTGTGTGGCGGGCTCAGGCGAGCCGCCCCGGAGGGTTACTTTGCATGAGGAGGAGACGATCAGTTCGGAGGAGGAATTGATCCCCAGCACGGCCCACTGCGTTGGGTTCGCAGGCACCTGTGACGACTGCCAAAGGTTCACAGGCACCTGTCACGCCTCCACAGTCAATCGTGCCAGGCCTTCAAATGCGCCCGCCACTTGTCCAGGCCTTGCCAGCTCTTTGCACAAGGCATCCAGGCACTTCTGTCTTGTCAGCTGCTTGCGGCCGTTTTAAGGCCGCGCGGCCATTTAGGGCAACCTGTACGCTGGGCTGAAGCGGCATAATTGATTGCATTCTGCGGGCTCGTGCTAGCCGCAGTGGAAGCAGTTGTAGTGCAGGTACGCGCCGCTTTTCGTTCACTCACGGTCTGGCACGCGGGCCATCATAGGATCGTCAATGGACGCGTTGTTTTGCAGCCCTTGACGGGCTTGCCCCTTGTCGGACGATGTTTCGAGTTTCGGCCAAGTGCTGTGATTGTGGCTTCCGGTCAGGCCCAGGCCTGATAAGCGGCCTCAAGCTTAAAAACATCGCTCAGCACGCGGGTCCTTTGGCCACGGCAGATTTCCTTGCAGGCTGCGATACCTCGATACGCGGCTATCCTGAGCCGGCTATTAGGTAGACAGGTAGTTAGCTTTTAGGAGTAGTTGCCGTACGCCTTGCTTAGTCGTAGTTCGTAGTTCGCCAGCGTGTTTTTGCACTCGCGAGCGCTCTGGACATATAGAGCCTCAACTGTTCAATCTGCTCGCTTGAGTCGAAAAATGACCCTCTGCAGGCACTGGGATGCCAAGGGTCTGGAGGTTGTAGCGGGCCGTGACGTCTCGACGCGTCGTCGCATCGTCACGTTCTCGTTCGTACCCACCCACTACACTGGTATAGGGACGTATGGGATATGTATTGCTAGTGCACGGGAGTTGAGGTCTTGGCATTCCACTCACTCAGAGCAGTGTAGATGCCCTTGGGTAGCGGTTCACTTTGCGGTACACGGCCATTGCAAATTCAACTGAGCAGCTATAGTCAAAATGCCTAATATCCTCCTGAAAAGCTTTATAGTCGTCCCTTATATAATCCCCCTTAATGGAGTTTAGGCTATAGCTCAATTGACCCGAGAAATCACTATCTTCTTCATTGTTGGGAAGCTTAGTCTTTGCCACTTTACCAGCTTCGCAGATTTGGGCGTACATGTCTGACGCAGTCTGATGCACTCAGCAAGCTCACACTCGCCCCTCAGCCGGGGCTGTCGTGTGACTATAGGAGGTAGGGCAAAGGCGTACGCGGCATGGGCGATGCTCGCCTACAGACGGGGGGAATATATGTATTCTCAAGGGATGTGGAAATTTTCAGGGGGAGGGCTTTGCACTGTTACACTTCCGCCCCAGCTTGCAGGAACTTTCAGGACTTGCAAGGCGAAACTCCCTTGATGGAGGCGGGCGGGCGCTGAAGGGCTACAGACTAACGAGTGCCACCTATCAACTAAGGAGCAAGAGCAATAGAATTCCTGAAAGAGGTTTTTTTTTCGCCCGCAGGGGTGTGTAATATGTACGGTCCGGCATCTGAAGTGAGCAGCCTGTTGAAAAGCTTCCGCCAGCCATCGCCGACGGATCTCCAGTATGCTCGAGGTTTGAGATTGCAGTTGGCGCTTACGATCCAGTCAAATTATTTCGGTGGGTCCCGACGATTGGTTTCTGATTCTTCTTCGCTGTAGTAGAAATTACCACGGTGCCCAGAAAGTAAAGTACGTAGAGCAATGCAGGATTTCGAGTATCAACCATAATGATATCTCTACTTCTGATCTGGGTCCCCGGATCCGAGCCAGAAAGGGTGAGACGCCGGATGCGTGACATATGATGGGTATGTTAAACAAAACCCCCTCATTTATCCTAAAACAGTGCACGTCAACAGTCTCAAGGAGGCTCAGAAGAATTAGTCGCCGTGATATGGCCTCAGTCACAACAACATGGCCACATAGTTGCCAAAGTTCCAGGAGCCCAACACGAGTTTTGCACTTGCTTTAAACGTTGTAAGGATCCTATGAGGACATGTTTTTTGGAAATTCACGGTGCCATTCGAGATCTCTGTTCTATACGCACGCGAAAAGGTTAGAATAAGGCACGTATGCACAGAGCATTTCGGAATCCTGGAGTTTCTTGCAGCCAGCCGGAATCATTTTACGTGAGCCCAATATTTGTTTAAGTAGAGATTGTTTTTAAAACCATGCTTGAGATGTCTGAAGGGTTTGCACCTCTCTAACGGAAGTAAGGTGTATGTATCAGCTTTATGGGCTCTGTTGTTGGCAGGCTGCATGTGCTGGCGACCTGGAGCTATGCCAGGCTGAGCCGTTTCGAGGGGATTCGGGCTCAGGGCCAAAAGCTCCGAGTGTAGGGCCGAAGGATTCTTGGGCTTATGACGAAACATGGTTTAGGGTTCAGGGCTTAGGGTTACATTTTTTTAGATGGGGATGCACAGCGGCCCACGTTTTTCTCGAGAAGCAAAGAGCTCACAAGTTAGAAAATCCATTTAGGAGATCGATTAGAGTTTTCGGATGAGCGGGCACCCAAGAAAGAGTTTATATGGAAATTTCCAGAGATTATCGCTATCACGGGTGTTTGCTTCAAACAGTTTCTTTGTTTTTTCTGGGAACCGTGGTCTGCACTGTTCTAAAGTACGACAATGCGAGCAGGAACCGAAAAATGATGTGGTGCTAGTTTGCAAGACATGGCCATGCTCAATCGACAAGCCCGGATATTGATTTCCATTATTCATCTTTCCTTGCGCCGGGTTGGTTCGAGTGGGAAAGATAAGTCCACAATTGGTAGGCGCGGCCAGGGAATGCATTGCCAGTCTTGGTCCTAGCACTCCGCCAAATTGCTTTAGCTTGGAACCTCATCCATCAATGTAAGAAAATCTTCTGTGCTTCCCCAATATTCCCCAATAAAACCAGGTAACCCTGCTCAGCTAAGCCAAAACCTTGAGAGTTCCAGCTTGAACCTAATGGCTTTTCATAAGGAACGGAGGGCGGGATCCTTATAGTAGCTGCTATGTAACGCCCAATAAAATGGGAGTTTTCATGTTTTTGTTTTCCCATTCTTTTGTTCCCTGTTAACAACCAGCACTTGAGTCCAGATAAAAAACACAAAGCAAATGACTGCTTGCTAGGCCTTGGTAGAGGCTCGTGCCGATATCCTCCATGAGCCGGGGCTTTGTTCAGATTGGGGCGTAGGCTTGGAGTGGGCTAGGTTTCTGGGTTGCGCTTCAGGCCCTTAGGGCTTCATTTGGATTCATGTTGGAGGTTGGCTTTGGGGTGTAGGCTTAAGTATGGAATGGGCTTCAGGGTTTCAGACATGTTCATATTGGAGGTCGGGCGTGAGGTCAAGAGTAGCGCTTCTGGATTACCCTTCAGGCTTCAGGGCTCACAGTGTAGCATTCAAGCTTGCGGGTTTCGGTTTTCCTGTGTCAGCTGAGAAGATTCCCAGAGAGACGCGTAAACTCAGAGCGAGGCCGCCGGGGTAGTTCTATTAGGCGGGTCATTGTCGAAAGTTGGTCATGGGAAGATCCCTGATTAACAAACCCCCTCCTTTTAAGGACCTTAATATTAAGATCCCTCTTGTAGCCCCTATTAAAAGGGACGGTTTGTTTTTTAAGTCGCAGGTCTAGATTGAAGATTCAATGAGGAACGTTACAGGCATGTCTTGAAGAATCATAGCGTGATTGGATAGTATAACCCCAAGCAAAATTACCTTGAGCCCGAGTCCCGAAACGCCGAAACCAAACTCTAAACCCTAATGCCTACATGGTATTTCTTCTTCTAGCCAGAAATTTGACGACCCAGGAGAGCCATCTTGGTGCTAGCGCTCTCAGCTTTGCGGGGGGCCACCAAGAGGTGTTAAGGCTTCCGGGTTTAGGGGTTAAAGGGTTTAGGGTTGAGGGGTTTAGGGTTTAGGCTTTTCTCAACTTGTGAGATCCGATATGGGGATTTCCCAAAATTAGGGGTACCTTTTTAAGGGGAGCCCCATAATCAGGACTATGGTATTCGGGGGTGTATCTTGGGGTCCCCCTATTTAGGGAAACTACCATATAAGGTTTTGGGCATATCCCCTTAGGTTTAGGGTTCGCATTTTTGCGCCCATCAAAGCAGGCCGAAATAAGGCCTGATACTGATAAGGGTCTACTTATACTTGGGCTTTCATTCAGGGAGGGTCGTATGACTGTTGTCGTGTACTATCATTCGGATACTGCCCCCTCTCAGAAAAGCGGGACGGGTAACATGTACTCCATGCTCATACAAAAAGCCTGTATTTGACCCTACTATGGACTGTTCCTGGGTGGGAGCAGAAATAAACGTGTCACCATTAACTTGGTCCACCACACTGTGTTTGATGCGAAAGCGGCATGCAAGACCAGTCGGTATACTTCTTGACACCATTGCAAAAGCTTCTGTCCTGATGATAATCTGTTTGGAAGGACGGGGCCAGCTTCTTCTGCGCAGCTACAGTTCAAGTAACAGCAAACGACATGTCCATGCAGCGGGGGATCGCCTAGGCTATGCATCAGAAGAGTGAGCATTT